GGGTAGTGCATGAAAATCACTATGTGGGAAAGATGAGAAATGTAAAAGTATTTAAAAGTGTAAAGATAGCTCATCTGAGTCTTATAATGCGAATATGGGATCTTGTAAGAAATGTGGCACAAGAAAATTTTATATGTACATTTGCACGGACAGACACACATCATTAAAAACCTTTTGGTGTTTGTCCAGAAATAGGTGAGTGGGTGCAGTGAATGTTAGTGCTGAAGTGGGCTGAACATCAACAATTAGATCAAATAGGAGAAAGGGTTATGCAGTGGGGTGGTGACTATATGATGCATTATGTGAAACGTAATTTGTGAATAAATGATAATCACTACATACAGGTCTTTGTCCATTTGGACAAACATCAAATGATGTCTACAATAAAACTAAACCAATAAAAATATAGTTTATGTCCTTGGGTCACCTGTGCGTCACCGTATATATCTGCTTAATCTTTGTTTTGATTCCAGGCTGAGCTTATGGCAACGGCTGGGGAGTTTGAGAGTTACAAGGTGCGAGTACACAATGTGCTCAAACAGCAGAAGAGCAAGACGACTGCCCAGGGTGAAGGAGACTCTGGCAAATTTGAGAGGTAAGGACAATACCAGTATGAATAATACACACAACCAAGGAAGACGCAGGGAGGCAATCGGAAAGGGTGATGGTGAATTGCATCCTGTTTGTAACCTACAGTGGACAGTTTTTTTTTTTTGTTGTTGTTGTGCTTGCTCTGTACTCCAGCACATTGGATATTAAGTAAAATGTTGACTCTATGGTTAACAGGATGAATCTCAGCTTTAATTTGAGGGTGTTCACATCTACAGTATATTGGGTCAACAGTGGCAGAATTATAACCCTGTCACTGTTTGAAATTGAGGAGACAGTGTATTATCTACATCGACATCTATTTATGTCAGCTGTATGTCTGTCTGTGTGTAGCACCTTAACACCAAAGCAAATTCCTTGTATGTGTAAAACACTACTCGGCAATAAACCTCCTTCTGATTATTAAAAGGACTGTTCCTTCACTGGCCACCCAGAATGTGAATATCCTCAAACACCCTTAAAGATGCATTAATACATTTTTGGCCTTGAGAGGGCAGAAAAACATGCAGACAGATGGTGGGCAGAATTGCAGCTATGAACCATATTAAAAGTGAACACTAAATAGCAGCATGTGTCGGTCAACACTGTAAGAGTGATATATGAATATAGTAATATATGGTGTGTCTGGCAGGGAGCAGTTGTCCTCTCGGGTAGAGCAGCTGAGGTCCAGGCTGGCAGAGAGCCAGCAGAGCCTCCAGAGCAGCACAGCAGAGCTGCAGCAGCTCCAGACCGAACACGACACTCTGCTGGAGAGACACAACAAAATCCTCCAGGAAACAGTTTGCAAGGAGGCTGAGCTCCGTGAGAGGTGAGCTGGCTGGACCCTGTCTTGAACAATTGAACTTGACCATTCTACCATGTTGATATATCGAATGTTCGGTCACACTTCATATTTGCCTTTATGATTTATTAGAACAATTTATCTATTATAAACTGATTTGACCTGGAAAATAGTTTTCACTCTTCTTTTCACTTTCCTGTCATATGCCATTCCTACTGATTCTCTACTAAATGAGGAGTCTCTAAATTCTTCCTTTAATTTCCCCTCTCTCTGTCTCCACCTCCAGGCTGATGTCGGTGCAGTCGGAGAACGTGGCTCTGCGGTCAGATCTGTCCCAGGCTCAGGCCGACCTGTCTTCCCAGGTCGAGGCCCAGCGCCAGATCTACAGGGAGCAGATGAGGAAGCTGCAGGACGACCACCGGGCCACTGTGGAGACCCTGCAGGGCCAGCTGACCCGCGTCGAGGAGCAACTCTTCAACCTGCAGAGCCAGAGCAGTAAGCATTACGAAATTACAAACTCGATCCATTAAAATGGTTGAAGAATATTGCTCAAACAGACCGCAGTAAGCTCACGGTGTGCATGAATGGTGTCGTATAGAGAGGTCCATCAAAGCATCAAGTGTTAAGAGAGTGCTTCATCTTGTTTACTCTGGCTTTCTATGAGAGGAATAGCGGGAGAGAACAGAGGAAGAGGGTGTGTTGGTGTGTTTATTGACAGAGCAGCATTGGAAGCTCATTCATCACCTCCCACACAGCTGCCCTCTAGAGTCAAACAGCAAATACACACATTTGACAAGCAAAGGAAAGAGAGTGTGTGTGTGTGTTCGTGTTCTCTGTCTCTTCAGTATGGCCAGGTGTTGGCGAGGCTCCTCAGCTCTGTTCCCACCTCTCAGTGTGGCAAACAGCTCACTGTGGCATCTGGAGAGACTCCTCATTAGCGGCTCCTCATGCACGCCAGGACTGGCCCGATGTACAGGGCCAATAGTAGCCATTACTGAACATCACGTATAAGCCTTCTTACCAATATATTTGGATTTAATGGCAGTTAAAACGCAAAAGGGTTCAACAGTGGTGTGTTTTACTGGCAGGGAGGTCATAAAACTGCTGGCCCCGGGACAATTATACTGGCCTCATATATATCTTTTATGAATGAGCTGTAATGTACAGTCAAACTGATCTATGTTCATTGTCATGTTTTGTTCCATTTACTCCTAAACAAATCAACAGTACATAAATAAATATGAATATTAATTCCAAAAACAGTGTTTTATAAGTTATAAACCAGTGGAGGCAGCTGCTGTTCTATGTTGCTGACTGTTGTGTCTCTGCAAAGAGTCAGTGTTTACCTGTGGTTTATATCATGTCCAGGAAATTCATTCTATGAATTGGTGTCCTTTTTTCACTCGTAGCTTTCTTTTACGACTACAGCTTGATTTATACTGAATCTGGTCTCCTGAGTGTCGAGGCTGTAACTTTTTTGATTCATTAGATCTGTGCACATCCTAAAGCACTTAATAAGGAGGATGTGACAGGAGAAGATTTTTCCACACTTGTCTGAATGGCACAGTGAACTCTAGGTGCCAACCAGGCTTTCCTACTGGCCTCATGCCATCAGGCCTAATTGTTAGTTATTCTAAATTCTGATCAGACTACAACATCTGGTCAAACTCTTGATGCGTTTACACACACAGAAACTGATACATTCATGTAGCAGGACTTCAGCGTCTTGCTCTTCTCCTTCATCCGCTCAGGGAGAGGAGGTAGAGGACCAGCCTGGAGGTGGGAAGGTGAGGGGATTGGGGTATTGTCTGGTCTTTTGGTTCAGTTCCAGGTCCATTGATCACAATCTTCTTTTATGTCCACCTACTCTCTAAAGTGCCTCACCCTTCTCTCTCGCCAACCACTCTTCACATTTGCGGTCATTGTTTATGCCAGCTGAACTGGTTAATACCAGAGTGTGTCTGGTGCCCCATTCTTCATGTCACATTGAAGAAGGACACAGACTCACAACTTTGTGTTCAATTAAGTAGGGAATCTGTTTTATGTGGTAAAGTATTGATCATACTGCTTCAGCACAGGCAGTCCAGAGGTGCTCTTTGACAAAGTAGACATCCAAAAAATGTATATGCAACTTTCAAACTGGGTAACATCAGGCAGCAAATAAATAACAAATAATTTTGTGTTGAACTTAACAAATACAATAAACAGTTTATATAATTAATGGCAGTACATTAAGGGTGGGTTTCCACACCAGTGGTGAATAGGACTGGTCATAGCTGAAACTTGATCTATTTTATGATTTAAATTAAAAATAATTATCAGTGTAACAACATTCTGTATAAGACATGATTACTAATGTGCAGTATGAGAATATGGTGTTTTTTTGAAAATTAAACCATGTAAACCTGTTCTGGTACAACCCCTAATTAAGATTTTGAACCTGAAAATTAGCATAAATGAGCACCTCTTTAAATAATGGTTTATGGTATCTGATACTTTTAGTAGGTTTCAAGCTTGACTAATTATAAGATAACTTATTATTTTATCCAGTTTTAAAGCTAATCCTAGTTTAAGCAACTCACCCTTAACTGAACATACTTTTATTTTGAAATGTAGTTTTTTTTTGTTGTTGTTGTTGCTTGTCTGCTTTTTAATGTGTTTGTATTCATCTATCACTCTTTCAGGTTCTGTGTCGATCCAGTCCGGCCGTAAGCCGCTGTCCTCAGACCCCCAGCGTAGAAGTGCAGATCAGAACCAGGCGGGACTGGGACTAATGGCCCTCAACGACCTCCAGTCTATGGCCAGGGAGGAGGGCGAGGGCATGGAGACCACTGAGACGGAGAGCTCCTCTCCTGCTCTTACGCCGTTGCTCTCTCTGGAGCAGCTTCTCACGTCCCCAGACCCAAAACAAGGTGTGTTTGAATGAAGAGGTGCACCTTGTGGCAGTTACTCAGTTTATAAAAGCATTGTCTACATACAATTGTCTCACAAGTTAAAAAAATTCAATATCTGACCCAAAATGGTGATCAAAAACAAGAACAGCAAGGAAACCATATATGGTTTTTAAAACAACCTACTGCATTTCTGAAAGTGACTCAAATGTGATCATCTATGCTATGTATGATTACTTGAGGCCCAAACTGAGCAAAACCAGCTTCTCTTCCCATACCAAGATTTTTAAACCTGTGTCTTTGGTTTTTGGTTTAGAGCCATTTGTGTGGACGGTGGAGCCTACCAAAGAAGAGCTAAGTCAAAAGCTGAGCACAGCCACCCGCAGTATGGAGCATATGAACAGCCTCCTACATGAAACTGAGGCCACCAATGCGGTTCTCATGGAGCAGATCACTGTATGTATATATGCACTACACACATAGCACAAAGACATTAATTCATTTAATTTTCTTGTCAGTTTAATTACAATTTAATAAATCGTTTAAAATATGAAATATTTTTCAATATATTTCATGAATCTATTTTAAAACCCCTCTTTAAATGTATCTCACTGTGATGGTATCAACAACATGGCTATGTCATGTCAGATAGTATGCGTAAATTAACCTAATTTCCTTATTTGATCTGAAAGATTGTATTTAATTGAAGAGAGACAATCAAACAGAAACTGACATATTTATTTGGCAGCCATGTAAAATTGCATGTGGATCAGTGTTGGTGTCCAACAGTTTTGGCAACGGTGTAATAACTTAAACTGGCCGGTAAGCCCCAACAGTGATATCAAACAGCCGAGAGTTGTTCAGGGTCCCCTCTTTGTCCAGGAGAAAGTAGAACTTGTGTCCTTTGACCCTGAGGGGGATGAATGAGGGGGACTCCTGCCTGTGAGCATGACAGGCCACCTGGGACAGCGGGACTGTTATTCTCCGTCCTCGGCCTGGTCCCAAAGGTGACTGTGTGGAAACTGTCACCATCCTCCCACCTTGGTGTAAAACCACCTGGCTGACAGAGCGCCGGCAGAACAGAACCCCGAGGCCGACCATCCCTGCTCCTATCGCCAGGCATCCCAGCGTGAAGCCGTACCTCCAGGTGTTTGACCCCAGGTTCATCTCAAAACTCCACATCCCAGCCAGCCCGGTGGTGGTGGTGGTGGTGGTCGCCTTGGCTTTTCCTTTCTCTGCGGCGCCCTTTGTGTCTCTGAGACCGGTGTAAGCGAAGTGGGCCAGGTATGTCCAGAAGAGAAACTGGCCGCCGCAGAAGAGCGAGAGGAGCCGGAAGAAGCGGGTCCTGTCGTGCTCGAACAGGGTGACGTCTCTGGAGGGCTGGCGGAGGTGCAGAGGCTCCGGCGGCCAGGCAGCTGTCTGTGAGCGGCACCGGGGCGGCTTGTGTGCACAAATATCCTACTGCACAGACCTGCTACAGCTGTAAACCGGTTAACCATGTCTGACGTGCTCGGGGAACTCTGCGTGGACATCGACGCATTTTGAAAGACTCTGACTTTAAGCTGAATGTTAACGAGTCGAAACTGTCCGGAGTAACAGTCCAGTGCCCCGCAGAGCAAACGCTCAAAGCCCATTTTCACGGCGATAAATGGCTTTACGTTTGCTACAACTATTAAACCAGAGACACGCGACAGTATACGTTCAGAAAACGTTAAATAACGCTTGTTTTAACTTTTCTCTCCCAACATACTGGAGCGCTGCGCCGCCATATTTGTTGTGTGACGTAGGGCGTAAAGTTACGGAAAGCAGCGCTGACCAAAATGGGTTGCCGCTGGTGTAAAGATCGCGTTTTGCTCTTAAAACCAACAAAACTTATTAATCTAATAATAGGTTAACACGGTGTAAGAAGAGGTTTATGATGTATTCTTTGTCATTATTTGCCTCCATGTTGTCAGACAGCCTATTTAGTCAGAGATTGATGTGTTGGTTGGTATGCATTGTTTTGGGATGCTATTAATTTTATATGCAGAGACTTTGCAAAAGCACCGGGTTTTGTTATTTAAGGTGCCTGATATGTTCTACCCCATAGTTGTTAAAGAGTGAAGTGCGGCGTCTAGAGCGAAACCAGGAGAGGGAGAAGAGCGTGGCCAATCTGGAGTATCTGAAGAACGTCCTGCTGCAGTTCATCTTCCTGCAGTCTGGCAGCGAGAGGCAGGCGCTTCTGCCCGTCATTCACACAATGCTGCAGCTCAGTCCGGAGGAGAAAAGCAAACTGGCTGCCATTGCGCATGGTATGTACTAGTTGAACAGGTTTTATAAAATTGAAACATACTGCTTTGCGTCTCACTACAGATTTTGTCCAGTGCACCTAAAATACAATATGTCATATACAATAGGTGTGTATGTATTTGTGAGTAAATGTGATTTGCTTCATTGACAAATCTGTAGCTGTAATTAACTGTATCACACAAACAACACAGCAATGCACACAGACAGTATCTGAGAGCACACACATGTTCCAATAAATGGTTAATCATGGTTATGTTCCCACACACACCTTTCTCTCCCTGTTATTGAAGTGCTATAGGATTTACTGTCAGTAATATCCATCATTTATAACCAAGTGTGCTTTGATCTCCTTTGTGCAGGTGAGGAAGAGGGGTCCGGGGCTCGGGGCTCAGGTTGGACCTCGTATCTCCACAGCTGGTCTGGGATCAGATAGACTTGATGATCAACCAACCCAACAAAAACAATAGAAGCACAGCGCTAAGACGTTACTGGGCCTTATTTTCTGTGAAAACCTGTACTAAGCAGTGATGCAGTACATTCGAAATGCTGGCAAACGTGTGATGTTAACTGGGGCATTTACATCATTTTGGGAACTCAAATGAAGGGCCCGAGGAATGTATCAGAAAAGAATGGCAGCGTGTGGTAGAGATGAAACCAAAACATTCGACACGAATATTGATTTGAGTTTGCAGTGCAATAGTTACATTAGTCTCTTACCAATGAATGTTAACTGTGAAAAATGTCCGTCTTCCTTACTATTGACATTGTATTTACATTTACTGGACATGAGGGTTACACCTACTTGAAGTGGAGCTCATATGGCATTAAAAGGCATCATTAGCACTATGAAAAAAAATGTCCGTGGATATAATACATTATGTTTATGTTATGTTATAATCACATTGTATAATGCACATAAGGTGCACAAATTGTGGCAGGAGGAATTAATCAAGGGGTGCAGTTAATGACATGAGATTACTTGATTATAGTTTTCAGTAGTAGTAGTACTTTGTAGTGCAGTACACTTAAAGGACTATACTCGAGTTTGAGCTTTTTTTAGTACAAATCACACCTGCTTTATGTGTCTTGTGAACATTTTTCAAGGGCATACTGAAGTGTTTTTACTACCTTAGTGGCAGCCATTTTTCCCCCATTCCTTGCAGTATGAAAATTAAGTTGTTACTAGTTGTTGCCTGGAAGGTAGAAAAAAGGCATTAAGAAAATGCAGCATGCTTTAGAAAACAATCAGCAGCAATGTTAAATACATGCTAAACCTCCTGAGTGGTCCGTTTAAGTCTTTCAAGTACAAAGGAGTGCGTTTCTACTTTCTCAGGTTTACCTGACCAAGGTGACTGACAGAACATTATCATAATATCATTTATATATTTATACTACTTCTGCAGTTGTTCACTAATGCCTCAGGAGCAGTTTAAGTTTCAATCCATGGGTTTTGATTAATTATATCCTGTACTGACAGTTGGTTTCTGATTTTGTTCTGGTTACTGTGTAATTGGTTGTTACTGTTTGTTGTGGTTGTTATTATTTAATGCCAAACTGTTATTGTAGTTCTGTATTTTGTCTTGTACTTTTTGGTTTTGTCAGTTGTGCTGTTGTTTGAAGATTTGTTGCAACTCCATCTGCAAGGCTGTCTTGTTGAAGGACGGCCACCATGAAAGCAAGAACATCCACCCTGCTAAAGTGTCCTTGAGCAAGACTCCCAATCAGACCCATGGGTGCTGCATTTAATGTGTCTTACTATGACCTCTGACCTCCCTGTGGAGGTGGGGAAAAGAAATTTCTGCACAGAAGTCCCCCCTCCCTGTTAAACACACATCCACCTGCTCTTACGTTGATTTAATATATTTTTGCTTGTGTCCTACCAATGATGAAGTTAACTGTTAAATTTCTCATTCCAGTGGCAGCTTTTTGTGATTCCTTAAGCAAGTGAATGTATTTTTATCAAAGGGGTTTATATTTATGATGGTTAATGTGACTAGACGCTAGTGTAGAATCTTATCTGTATAAGAATGAAAGAGCGTTTAATGTGTGTTAACTAAATCACTGCAGAGCAATTTATTTCAAAGGCAGTTCTTGTTTTTTCCTGGTTATTTCCAACTGTAAACTAAAATAAAGTCAGCGTGGATAAGAATGTTTGCGGCTACTTTGCATTAAACCTTCTTATTTATTCATATTTTGATACGAAGGTCATACAGCTGAGGTCCATTCATGTTCTCTAGGTTCAACTGCTGCCATGTACCCTCAAAGGGTCATAGTATTTTAATTAGCAGCTTGACCAGCCTATAGAGCCCAATTGTGAATCCGGAAGTGTTTATTAGCCCAAATCTTTGTGTAAGTAACATATAGTATGGGTCCCCAGCTTTTAGGAACTGGCAGATATTTTAGGCACTGGTGTTTTTGTGAGGGGGGTTCAAACACTCGGATGAAAATCAGATCTCTGAAGTCCTTGAGCTACTTTACAAGACTGAACCTGACTTCTGTTTCTGTGTATACCTCTGAGATGAAGAATTCTAAGGCCCTTGCGATCCGTGTACACTCACACGGTTCAGATCCCTTTTTTCTTTTTGTTTTCAGAATCAAAAAACAAGAAAAAACAAAAAAGATGGGGTTTTTTTATATTTAGACTGAAGCCTGCTAGAGACTGGCTGTATAAGAATTTCACAGCGAATAAACTAATTTATCCTGGAAACAACACTGATGAGCATTGACTAGGCTAAATGAAGACATCTGAATATGTGCAATAGTTGTAGCATTGCACACTCAGACACGTTATTTGCTTCTCCGAACTTTCACTGGGCGCTCAAACCTAAATGGATCTTTTAAAGGGGACAGAGTAAGAGGCACAGAGATTCAGATAACATGGTGTTAGGTTCAGTTGTAAAGTTAAAGATATAGTGTGATCCACGCCCACAAAGCCAACTTTGTATCACTTGTGGTTAAAATGAGTATGTTTGTATTGTTAACATGGGGAGCATGTGCTACCTGATAGCATGGACAAGGACACTGATCTTTACAATGATAAAATGAAGATGTACTATTAAAACTATTGTGTTATACTGATATCTTATACTTATATTTGATTTGTTGATACTGCCAGGGAAGTGTATATTGTACAGTGGAGTGTTACATTAATATAAGAAATATGAAATCCTTTATTGATTGAGTTTTGCTTGTTTCAATGTTTGTCAGTTTTAATGTGATACTGCCACAAATTATGACTTAAATTTTGAAAGTTTGAAAAAGTGATAGATAATGAACATTTGATTTCACAAATGTGATAAAACGTACTGAGCACAAATTTGCCATGATATGGTACAAAATACTTGCCACTGGGGCAGTACCTTATTTATACCTTTATTTGTACCATTTCCACGGGTAGCCCACATTTTTCATGGAGACATCGAGTTTCTCAATTTCGGGAAAGCTGATTGTTGTGTGACCTGGTGTATCCATATTTTCCCTGTAGTTGTTAATTTCTTTCCGTGCTATGAAAGTCTTCATCCCTCCATAAGGAGGGAATGGGGTGTAGGGGCTTTCCTTTTAAGGAAATATATGTGATTCTAGTATCATGACGCAGCCAGGGGAGGAAACAACAAATAATAGCTGGACTTCTGTATCTGCCACCGGAAGGAATGGTAAACATGTTACTGTAAGCTCTAAGCTCCCTGGGGAGCAGCACCTTCATTAACACCTCGCTGTTATCTGATACATTTCTTAATGATTCTTTGCTTTTCATTCTATCATCTTCTTTAGCAGAGCAGCAGTAGTAAGAAGGCGAATTCTTTCCATCATAACATGTCTGTGATAACATGTTGATGGTTTCAAAAATTCTCTCACTATTACAATTTAAGTTGCTGGTGTGTGGGGCAGCTTTCTCCACGGCATCCACTCGCCATGTTGAACTTCTGTTTAGTTTCCGGTGGCCAGAAAATGAGACTTTCCATATATCCTAAACTGATGCTTCATGTGTAGGCTAAGTGATATTATAAGGCCACAGAGGATGCAGGAGCAGCAGCCTGCATAAATCCAGTAATACGCGTTTAATCTGTTGATACAAACAACATCTTGCACGGAGGTGGCAGGGCGGGTCTTGCCGTTTTCTTGCTGCAAACCCGATATAGTCATTCTCCAGCGGTGGAAGCTCACAGACTGAATGAGAAGCTGCCACAGAGACACAGAAATACAGGACATTGACCCGGTGGTTTTCAAAATAAAAGCACAGATTTCGCTTAATTAATTTTAAGAGTTTGTTTTATGGACTGACTACTTGCCCAGAGTGTTTGTGTACCTGTAACATGTTGACAATATGGTCCTCTCAATCACCTCCTCCTAGAATCCCCAAAAAGGCACACCTTCGACATGGAAACAAGGCCAAGCAACTCAACTATGCAGGGAAACATAGGAACTGGGGTGCAGAAATATGGCAGCTGGTGCTCTGGACTGATGAGTCAACATTTTAAATATTTGGCAGAAGGAACTTGTACCGCGGAGGGCTGGAGAACGGTACAAGAAAGATGTCTGCATGTGAAAGTTCTTTGCAAGTTTGGGCTTGCATTTCTGCAAACGAAGTTGGGGATATGGTCCGAATTATTAGTCTCCTCAATGCTGAGAAGTGCAGATTCTTTGTAATCATGCAATACCATCAGAGAGGCATCCGTTTGGCCTCAGATTTATTCTGCAGCATGAAAACGGCCCCAAACATACACTGAAAGCCAGTA